CGGGGCTGCCGTGGGGCGCAGCTGCTGTGGGGTTTGCGAGGCTCGGCCTCCTGCTGAGGCCCTTGAAGGGCATCTCCCTTACGTGTGTGGAGTCAGCAACTACGTGGGGAGGGCAGGGGAAGAGCAGGAGGTCGGTCTTTCCTCACGCATTGAGCCCAGGCCTAAAGGAAAGCCATTGTGTGAAGCTGTAAATCTTAAGGTTAAGTTTCGTTTTTTAAACCTTGGGCCTCAAAGTGCACAGAATGGGAGAAAACTGTAGTCCCCAGAAACGATTCATTTTGCAAATGTTACTCAGGTGAGAGAAAAACTACCCATGCTTAGATCAGGTTCACTCGGAGCCTTTGTTTAAAACGTTCCTGGAAATAAAGGGCAAAATTTGAATTTTAACAGTGATAGAAAACTACTTACTAAAGTGCTTCCTGGCTGCAGCCATTTTAATGAATGGCTTGAAGTATAATTGTACCTTTAATAAAAACAGTCCTTCTACCCGTGACAGAGTATGTACACTGCATTTATATGTTACAAGAGCTAACCAAAACTGCAGCCTTTCTCTTAGAAGCGGTGTCCTATTCAAGCTAAGGTCTTTGGCCCCAGTCTTGCAAACCTTTCAATAGGGATGAGGCTACTAGCACGAAAGCAAGTTGGTCACCTGAGTAACGTACAAGAGTGTTGGAGCAGTCCTGTCCTAGGCAACGTGAGACAGATTTTATATGTTTGTATTTGAGTTATTAAAACTGCAAACCAAGGAAATGAACAGTAAAGAGAATGAATAAATTAAGAGGGATTGAACCTCTGTGTATGTTGCTCAGTGCTTGATTAATTTTGGTCACCTTCACAGCATGTGCAAATATGCTGTGAAGCGACTTTACAGTTTAGAACTCGAGTTTGGTAGCATTTTGCCTTGAGTAATTTTGCTTCCCTTCTGCAAATTTTTTTTTTTTTTTAATTAGAGGCAGGTTCAGAAATAAAGCCAATAGTTGTTTTTGTTAGTTCTTTTTGACTAATGAGGAAAAACAAACAAAAGTCAATAAAGACAATCTAGAGCAGCATAATTAATTCTACCTCTGGCTGGAAAACAACATCTTACCCAGTTGTCAACACTATACAGTTCAGAGTTGTTTTTAATTACTGCAAGTTGTTTGTAGTAGCCTCCAAGGAACACATTTTTTTTTTTTGTGTTGATGGTGCCCTTTTGCTGCTGGCAACCATTGATTCTTTTTTTAATCTTTACCATTGTGTTTCTAGTGGACTTTAAATCAACACGTTCTGTTTATGTAATGCAATGCCTACAGTAGAGGGAACCTTTTTGTGCTCTAGAGATAGGGGCTTATTATATGAATAAAAATTATAATTTACTGAATGTAAGCTTTCTGGTTGTGTATGCTTGTCATATATGTTTAAATTACAACCTTTTTGCCACAAAAATGAATTGAGAGCAGTTCTGATATTTATGCTGGTTATAAGCGACTACAGTTTCATCAGTACTATGTGCATAATTTTGATTTGCTTTCCCGACTTACCTTCTAGCTGTCAGTAAGCAATGATGACTGTAGTCTAACAGACTTTTCTATCCTGGAACAACTTCTGAATAAGGTGCTGTGTCAGTCCTCAGGCTGGGTGAAGACTGATAGGCACCATTCTGAGGTGTAGGGAGACAGGTAATGCAGTCCTTGAGTGAGACTCATCACCAGGGTAAATGCTGGGCTGTGAAGTATGGCAGCTAACAGCTCTGATTCACGATCACTGTTGGATTCAGCTCTAGCACCTGAAAGGTTCCCACTTCCAGAGAGAAAGAGCCCGACAAGAAGGAGCTGGGCATCCTTCCTTGCAAATAAAAACTTCTTTACATTTTGTGTATAGTGCTTTTCACCATAACTGGAGACAGAACATGATAGAGCAGTGTGAGTAAAGCTGGCAAAATATGACAGAGTTATTTTACATTGTCTTTAAAATGTTTTGAAAGGCCTAATTGCTGCCTCAAATTTTAATTTAGAATTATGGGTGATTTTAAAAATACTTTTCAATCTCTGCACTGTTAAAGTATCTAACCCTAGACATACTGACCTGTATTTCCCAAGCCTTGTCATCAAGATTATAGCTGATGGAGCAGTGAGACCTTTGTCTTATCTTTTTAATATGTTCATTTCACTAAAAATTGCTTTCTCTTCCTGACAATCTACTTACATATTTCATTTGCTTGAAGCTGTGGATAATCTGTTTGGAATAATATGAAATTAATCAGAATTTTAAGCATCTCCAAGGAAGTTAGATGGACGCCATACACAAATGCAGATTGGCCATACCTTCACCAAATTATGCAACATCTCAATCTGGGCTCGAGTCAAGGTCAGAGCGCAAATCTAGCCTTTGATAACTGCTGAAACAGGAGCTGCTAGAGAGGTTTATAAAGGGGTGGAAGTTCTCTTAGCACCACAGGATTCAGCCAAATCTTGGTTATATGTGCCACTCGGCACCCACTATTTCAAAAAAATAACCCAGAAATGAGGAATATTGCTTTTCATTACTTATTATTTTCTTTTGGGAGAGTTTGGTGGTGTGATTCTGATTAGCTGTTAATAAAAACAAGTCAAAAACATTCAACACGGGTTTGTAATATTTGAAGGTGTTGCTTCTGTCAATAGAAGATACTCCTGTGAAATTCTTCTAAGAATATAGTGACCTCTTCATTAGTGTTACTTTTCTCGTTGATTTTACTGAAGCTCAATCTGCTGTCTGTGGATTCTGATAAGAAAGAAAGGTAGCTAATATCAGATGAAGCTAAGCAAGATGCAAGATCATTTGTAAACAGAAATTAAAGCTACGTGAGAAGAATTGAGACTAACCAGAAACAGACGCAGAAAGAAAGAAGAGCAATGGTAGTTTTCAGTGCCTTGCTGAGTAGTGTGCTAATTCATGAAGATCAAAATAACATGCAGGTATACGCTGCTGTTTGATATTTGGACTTGTTCATTAGTTTATTCATGCTAAGACGAGTAGTGTGTTCCCCGTCTATTAAGCACTTCAATTGTTTGGTATCGCCATTTGAAAATGTTTCTGCCAAGATCCATTGTCAGCAATAAGTCTAAGAGATAACAATGGGTGATTGTCCTCTGGTCTGAAGTGAAAGGCCAAAAGCACACCAAAGCTTTCCTCCAAGATCTGACGTTAACTTTTGCTGTAGTCTTGCCCAAATCTTTTAGCCTATCTGCCTGCCGTATTTTCCCCATCTGGCAACAAGAGGCCAGATTTTTCTGTCTGCTGTGCCCCATGTGCATGTTCTGATGGATGGAAAGTTGGCTAAGTTATGAAAAGCAGATAATTCATCTGCTATATGACAAACAATAAAAATCAGGGAAAATGATGAAATGCAGTTATGCTTTTTTAAGTGAAAGGGAGCTTGGATATCACTGAAAGTTATAGAGCGCTTAGAGACTACTATGTTTCTGCTTTATTCTTTAATTTCTGTGTGAATGAGTTGAATAAATGAAGTAGCAGAGCTTATACCAAATTTATTGCTACATTCAAGACCATCCAGATGTCCTAGGGGCTCAAGCTACAATGAAACTATGAACCCCTCGCATAGTGGGGTGTACTGTAATGGAACAAATAGAAGTCCTCAGACTTTTCCAAACACGGGACCTACCTTGCTCTCCCATTATTCCCCCCTTCCCCATGTTGTTCTTTTCTGGTTAATCTGGGCTGTTTGTGTGATTTTATTTTGTTATAAGAAATTAATTATATAATGACTTCGCTATTTGCCTTAATACTAACTTTGGTAGTAAACTGTTTTCCATTCGGCCAATATTCTCCTGTTTTCTTTTTTCTCTGAAATTGCGTAGACTTTACCCTAATTTGTTTTTTTGCATTTTGTTAATAAACACAAGGCTTGGAGGTAATTCAGTAGTTGGATAATTCATTAGTTCCTCTTTGAAGAATCTGC